TTTGTCGCTTCTTTGGGCCTATTAATATTCACTTGTAATAACAAACTAAATGCGTATGGATTTAAGTAACCGGTTTTGGGGTTGTGATGCATCCTGTTCCTATATCTTCTACCTTGTTTCAAAAATCCATATGAGTTCTAGAAAAGAAATCAATCCATAATTCGAGATATCATGAAAGTACCATAAATCATAAAGTTGCGGTAGGACCATATAAAGAGAATTCTTGGTGGAGAAGGGGAAAGGTCGTCCATCCCACAAAAGAAGTGAAGTTGATAAAAAGAAGCCTCCAAGACAATTTAATGGGCAAAAAACGTCAACAACATCAGCAATTTAGTGCCAAAAAAAAAAGAAGAAGTTAATGTTATTGATGTGGGAAGCATATTTAAATAGAGATTGTGGCACATTTACGAATTCATGAATCATGACAAAAGCACCCGGCCCGACAATGATTTAGTTTTCTCAAACAGCCACTGAAGAAGCAAAACAAAGAAAGAATTATACGCAACAAAGCAATGAAAGGTGACATTTCTATTAACCAGAGATAGGCAAAAGCAATGGCAAGAAAGTTGTCTTGAAATTCTTGATTGGCACGGAATCAAAATGTTAGCTGTCTATTGGCATGATATGATTCCACGCCGTGAACATTAAAATTAGGCACTTATGACGTTTATAATACCAATTGAAGAACAAGTGCACATGTTATAAATATATATATATATTTTTTATCAGTGCACATGTTATATTAGATTAACTTAAAATTTTATTAGTTAATTAAATTAAATTTGCTTAAAAAATACAAAAATTCAAACTAAAATACACTGTGAACACTCCTAAACCAACCAAATCAAGCAGCAAATTAACATGTTGGCCGAAAAAAAAGAAAAAAAAAAAAGAAAGAAGGATATCCGACGTGAACGAGAAGTCTAAGACATGCTAAAATCCTTAAAAGTCTACCCATTTATTTTTTTTAAAAAAAAAACTTTTTGACCAGCCAACCATGAAGCAAAGCATATATAGTTTCTAGATTAAAATGACAGTGTTGTTGAAAGGGTATTTATTTGCAATTTTTTAGACAATAATTAGGTATTAAACATTGAATTTATAATTAAAAGTATAAATAGTTATATTATTAGATCATATGATTGATGATATTTATATGCAATTAATTAACAAGCAATGTGGCTATACTTAAGATATGTGGTATATGTGGCCTTGAATAGAAAAAATATTTTGGTTTCTCCAAGTTCAAATAGACCACGCCACAAAAACCGATAAAATTTTCCATGCATCCTTGAGGACTCCTATATCAATAATGCTAATGGATCTACTCTTGGCATGATTAAGGGTTTTAAAAACACATCGCCATCCAGACAGAAGAGGATCCACTCCCTTGCTATCAGGGGTTCTCCTCCCCTGGTACCAAGAGATATTCTCTCCATCCAGACAGGAGAGGACCCACTCCATTGATCCCAAGTGATCTCATCGCTTGGTGGTCCAGACAGGACTTGGTCAGCATGAGAGGAGAGAGGACTCTGTCAAAAATTCTGAAAAACGAAGCCTAAGAGAGTTTTAAAAAGAATCCATCGACAGGAGAGGACCCACTCCCTTGATACCAAGTGATCTCCTTGCCTGCTGACCTAGTCCAAGCAAGGAGATCACTTCGTACCAAGGGAGTGGGTCCCCTCTTGTCGATGGATTCTTTTTAAAACTCTTGGGCTTCGTTTTTCAGAATTTTTGAAAGAGTTTTTGAC